GGTCCTATATTAAGGACCGGAGGAGTATTAAGTAGAACAGAATTGTAATTTCCCCCCTTCTCTTTCTTAATTTTAAGCCAATAATACTGAGGAATCTCATACCCTAACTTCTTGCAATAATAACAGGCTTTATTATTGGAATTATGTCACCTAGCCTTAGATCTATATTTCCTATCAATACTCTCCTCTTCCTGATTTCTGCCCCTCACATTTAAACTTTCACCCTTATACTCAGAACGGGCTTCAAGATCAAATTTTCCTATGGGCAATAAATTAGATTTTACATCTTCAAAGGCTGAAGCATCTGAATTTCCATATAACGTAATTTAAAAAAAAAAACTTAATAAGAGGGAGGCAATAAGACAACTAACAAAATAGCTTTATCCCCGTCTTCATTAATTTTAACAGCAATATTTTCTAAATCCACAATGATGGAATCAAAATCATCAATATGAGATTAAGTAAGGGTAGCTTCAGCCATATGAAAGTTATATAACTGTTCCTTGAGACGAAGCTTATTTGCATGACTGTTCACATACATAGGGACTCCAACTTCAGCTATGATAAGGCGACGGTGATTTCATTAACTATTGCAGAACCCCCCAGATGGGCATGGTTGAATTTCAATGGTTTGGTAAACTTCTCACTTCGCAGAATTTTTTAAGCTAAATGTGTATTTCACCCAATCCAGGAAGAATGTGTTATTTGGAGATCAATTTGAGCTAACGGCTGCATTAATATTAGTGCTGAGCGGTACTGGTGAGCGATTTTGTTACCAGCAAATAATTTTAAACCTGATTTGAAAAACGCAAGCGGGGTTAGAATTTTTGAATTTTACAAGCTTCATTGGACAGATCACAAGCTTGATGTTTAATTATGATGATGAGGGTAATGAGCAGATTCAAAGTGTAGGTACAATTAATCATCCGGGTTGGCCTTTTGGTTGATTGCATAATAGTGAGGGGTTACTTCTTTGTAACGTCAGCCCAGTGGAGTAGAGTATCATAAAAGATCATCATGTTGTTGTAGCACTGATACGCAAAGTCAGTTTGTTTTCAAAGGATTGATTTTGACATCAGAATCGGTTCCTTCATGTCATGGTTCAGGTTTAACTAAATTACAAGTGTCCCCATCCACCCTGCCTCCTTATTCCAAGATCTTATCCATTTTCCCGGGCTTTATTGATTTTCAATAATTTTTTATCCATGCGTATAGCTGTTTAGGTCCTTTTTGAAGAAGCAACAGCTGGGAAGCTTAGTAAACAGTATACTTGTTAAATTTCTTTTATCAAACCCAAATAAAAAGGAGGAGCAGGAATTGGACTTCACTTTCAGAAATAGATTAATATACAAGGCACGGTTGCATAATACTACCTCCAATCCTAAATATAAAAACCAGCTGATTAATTTGAGTATATTAAAAAAAACTAATTAAGTTAATTATTTGCAATAAATAGGCATTGTTTTTTTAAAAATATCTTTGCTAATTAAGTTAATTGATTAGAACTATCATTACTAGAAAAGTTATCTTAAAATAAATAAATAAATATGAAAAATAAAATAAGCTGAAATCTTATATTTAGGATCAAAATAAAAATTAAATAAGAATTAAGTACAGGAAGTTGCGGCTGTAAAAGAAGCAGTAATAAATAACAAAAATAACAAGGCATAACGACACTTACCTAACGAATTTCATGTTTTGGGTTGACTAGGATAGCCATCCAAGTCTCTGGCCCAAAAAAAGAAACAAAAATGTAGCCATCATAATCAGGATTTGGTCATAAGCAAGCAGGGGCACTGTCATTAACTGAGGGCGCAAATCCTTGAGCGCTAGCAAACTCGCGTCGTAAATAATTGCCGGAGAAATAAAAAGGAAAATGAAAATAAACCCAAAATGATTGTGGGAGATGCTGGACGGCGAATGGCAAAGGTCAAATGAAGTTGGCAGTTATCGTACGATATTGATGGCTTGATCGGATTAAGATTAGGAGGATCTCCACATGCTCTCAAGTCTCAACCCTCATCTCTTGATCGACATTAACATCAACATCTCCGATCATTCCTCTTTCCACTCTAATTACAGGCACATGTATCAGAACAAACAAATGAAATCAATCAAAATCATCATCGCCATCTAAGGGATGAAGGGACTAAATCTGTTGCATACGTCCAATGATTTTTGTTGGTCGCAGAAAAAGAACCTCAGCGGGCATCTAAACAAACAGTTGTCCCCCAACGTCACATTTGCAGAACCCTGCTTGAGCGCCAGCAAGGGGCTGGGTATGCCCCCGATGAGGTAATTGCCGCTCAATATTAGCCTCCCGAACGGCGATATTCCCACCTCCGGAAACACCGTCTTCAATGCGTACTGCGTCGGTATCATTCCCGTAAACTTATTGTTCTCTAACGCCAGTGACGCCAGCTTCGGCATCACTCCCATGAACCACGGCAGCAGCCCTTGAATCTGGTTGTTGCTCAGATCAACCGCTATTAGCCCACTCTGCGATCCCGCATTGTAAGATGGCGCTTCCATGGACGAGAATTTGTTGAACGACAGCGTCAGTTGCTCCAGCGAAGGCAGCTCAAATAGAACCATGGGCACAGAGTCCTTCAGACCGTTATAACTCAAATCCAAAACCTGCAAATCCATCAACCCTCTGAAGCTTTCCGATCTTAAACCTCCGCTCAAGCTATTGTTCCTCATTGAGATTTGAACTAAGGATTTGGGCAACGTCGCCGGAATTCCGCCGGCGACGGCGTTGTCGCTGATGTCAAGATAGTAGAGGTTCTCGAGAGAACCAAGATCAGGAATCTCACCCTCGAGACTGTTGAGCTGAAGTTCGAGCCTTTTCAAGCTCTTCAGACCGTTAAAGCTAGAAGGGATTGTCCCTTGAAGATTATTGTTATCAAGGTAAAGCTCTTCCAGATTCGAGAGGAACCCAATGGAAGAGGGAATCTCACCGTCCAATAAATTCCCGGACAGAGCGAGCCGGCGAAGACGAGTCAAGTTGGAGAAGGAGTCGGGAATGCCGCCGGAAAGGTAGTTGTTGGACGCATCGAGAGTTTCTAAATAAGGAAGGTTCCAAGACGAGGACGCGAGTGAGCCGGCGTAACCCGCCTGGTCGAGAGTGATTTCGGTGACCCGACTCGACCCGGAGACGACAACGTCGCATCGGAAGCCGCAGGTGAATGTTTCGCTGAAGAGGCCGTCGCATGGGTCGACAGAGAAGTCCCAAGAACTAACACACGAACCTGGATTCACGGAAGCATTCTGAAGGCCGTTCTTGAGCTGCTTCAGAGCCTCTATATCACCCCAATATGTCGCTGATTCCGCCGGAGAAAGCAACCAGGAAGCTGAAATAGCCAAAACCAGAGGAAACAGAGGAGAAGTGAGGCAACCCATGGGGGAGGGTAATGTAAGACGGACAGTATGAGAGTGAGAAAAGAAAGTAAGAGTAAAGTGGGAAGCAGGCACTGGATGGAGTGAAGGAGAAAAGTTGATAACTTTTGAGGAACGGAGTCAGAGATTTTTTTTTTTTGGGGGGGAGGTGGCGGGTGCAGCTCAGTTCAGTTCACGGGTTCTTTTTTTTTTTTTGTCAGGGTTAGAAGGGTTTTGGTCTTATGGATGGTGTTGGGTGCTGAGGGAAGCATATCTCGGACATTATATAGACTGAGTGAAGGAATGGATCCTGTGACTATTTTTTGGTTTGTAATGGATGGATGGATGGATGTCCTTTTCTTATTTTTATTTTTACTAACGGTTATATGCTTCTTCGCTCCTGAATTGCCATTGGGATCGACGTCTAAATTCAGACGCATGCATGTGCGCATTACACAACAATATCAGGTTCATAATTAATAGCTGCAGCATCCTGACTTATACAAATAACAAAACTATATATATATATATGTATATGTATATATGACAACATTGATTCAATTCTGTATACTACCTCCTGTCTTAATTATAAAACCCTGTTTATAGACTACAAACAAAATCTTATAATTAGCACGTGAGGTAATATTAGAATGACATGCAACACAAATGCATTTCGCTTATTCAATATCTTATATTGGCATAACAAAATAATTCCATATAATCCTTATTACGATAAATCTATGAGAGTTATCGACATATAATATAATTAAAAATTAAAACTACTTGTAATAAATAAACAAGTATTTGAATGGTGAACGGTCAAAAATCATCCCGACAAGCGGAAGACGAGAGCATCGGATGCCTGGCCCCGGAGGAGGTGGGTCATCTCTTGGCATGGGCAAGGAGGCCCAACGTTAAAGGATTGCTAGTTTTGGTTGCTAGTGGGCCAATTTGTGTTTACTGATGTGGGTCTTTATAAACAAGGGCGATTTGAAAGCCACGGTGCTTATCCTTGTTTTTTTCCTTTTTTTTTTTTTAAATGGTGGAATGCCCTATGGGTATTTATTGCAGGATCTTACAAATTTAATTGTCGTATTTTGATGAATTCACGTGTTATATTTCTCAAAAGGTTAATACAATTCTGCAACCTATGAGAAAGTATCGGTTTTAAGAAGGGGAAGAAAGCGTAAGAGCAAAGAGCTAACAAACTTCAAGTTTTGGCAAACACCTGAGTCGGATGGCCCTTCCATTTCCGTTCGTTTTTTTTGCAGAACAAGACTTTCTGGTGTTTGCTGATTCTCAACCAACCACCTTTCTCAATCATATGTGGTTACAATACAGAACTTTCTGAAAAATTGGATCTTTTCCTAGAACTTGCTCCTAATAACATTCAAAAATTAACATAATCAACTTGAACAAAATAAGATCTACGGAGTATCCACCTCCTCCTAAATCTTCACAAGTAAATCCTTCAAACCCTCATCAAAACCAAATAAGAATGGAAACAAGGGGAAATCGGCTAAAAGTTTGTGTTTTAAAATTTTACTGGTGGGAAGAACTTAATGTGGGGTTTTATACACAAAGTACCAATTCTTAAATTCAAGTCCTTGTAATCAATAAAATTTTCAAACAGAAACTTTTCATAGCACAATTCCTAAACTGTAGAAGCCAAGCCACAACCTCGAATGACATCCGAAGACTCGCTAAACAGTTAATGTAAGAAAGAAAGCAAAACAAGCTCCAAAGCATTAATGCAGAGTAGTCAGATTACAGTGTTTTCTAAAGGATACGAAAGCTAAAATAAGAGGTGGTAAATGATAAATTTACAGGGCCGACGCAAACACGATACATTTCAAGCAAGGCGCAGATCGTCAGATCTCAATCCCATTCCATTATGGTGAAGATTCATATGGGTAGGGTGCTGCTGGTGGCACAATCCATGGAAGTTAGAGACACCAGTGGCCACCGTAACTGCTGATGATTCCTGGTCTCCTTCCTCGGGCACCAGATATTGTGAATGGATCACACACTTTTCCTACACTCATTCCATTAAACAACAATGAGAACAAGCTCTTTCAAGCTTACACTCTTTCCTTACAATCTGTAAAACACAAGTTCTTACAAGTTCAAGCAGCAGATTCTCGTTCATCTGCTTCATGCTTTTGACCTTCATGTTAACACCCAAAAGAAATGGTTTCTCATCAGAATTATCTTATGTGTGTTTTGTGTGTGTGTGAGAAAGTGTGATTTAAAAAACAAAATTCTGACCCTTTTCTTACTGGTACTTGTCCGAGTTTTGATTACATGAAGCTGTGGAAATGTACACGAAACTAGCGCATTAGTGTAAACAGCAATCGTTCGTTCCTCAAGAAAATTCAATTTCTATTCTTTAACTTATTCGGAAACCAAATGGGAGACACTGATGGTTCTTAGAGCAATGGTTAAGTACGGGATTAAGGGGAAAAGAATCATCAGCCCGGAAATGCTTTCAGATCTGCAGATTAAACTGAAGCAGGTACCCCGGGGGGGGGGGGGGGAATTAAAATTGAGTCTTTAATATCTTGTACTTCAAAAGAGATAACCTTTCGTTCACGTATGATCCCGGAGGCAGAAACCATATCCTCCTCAAGACTGCGTAGTTGTTGGAAGTCCAGATCATTTAAATCCTCACCCATCCTCTGCCTTGAAAAATCACAGCTTCAAATCAGCTTTGCAGTATAAAAAGCACACGAACACATTCCTGAGATCTATTTACCTTATCTGTCTTCTGAGTTTATTGTTAGTCTCTTTCAGCTTCTTCATGTTTTCGAGCATCCTCTGCCAAACATGCAGAACCTATAAGAACTAACCAGGAAAACACCGAACGCAATTGTTAAGTATCACGTAGAAGAGGAATGTCCAACCAACCTCATATTGGGCACTCCAGAGATCGATATTCCCCAAAGTCCTCTGGTACTGATCTATTATATTCTTTGTCCTGCTCACAACAGATGTTAGAAAACCAGAAAATACAAATGAAAAGGGAGAGATAGAGTGAGGGAGAAATCGAATTGTACGGACGTTAGGCCAGGAGTGGTGTATTCATGCATCTTATTGTTTTTGGAGAACATGATGAGGGAAACCTTAGCATCACAGAGAACACTGAGTTCATGAGCTTTCTTGAAAATGCCATTGCGCCGTTTGGAGTAGGTGACCTGCCTGTTGGTGGCATTCTCGATCAACTTGATCTCAATCTTTCCCCGACCCATTTTTCACCACTCTATCTCTTTCTTCCTTCCCCAACAAAAATATGAAGGGCATTAAGACATTGTTCGAATATATAGAAGAGGTGAGAGCTTTGCAGGGAAAAGAACATAAAGCAGAGGCATGGGAGAAGAGTGAGGAGTGAACAGTGAAGAGACTTTCTAAACCGGGAAAGCTAAAGGGAAACTGAAAAAGCTAGGTTGGAGTGTAACTGCGAATAATGCTAAATTGGTGAAAGAGTGTATAAAGCAAATGATGAAATAACATCAATCATTTCCTTAAGATATTCATTCATCTTCATGTGTGTAAACAAACTCCGTCCGGCTTGCTTATCGGCCTTTAAATTTGTTTATCGTTATTCAATCCATATAACAAAGCCCATTACGGAAATCCCCTGGTGGATTAGACCAACCACAAAACATCATCGAGTTTGAAGCTTAATGATCCAAGAATTGATCTCATCAACATAGATAGAAAAGAAAGGACAAACCATTTGAAGAAATGTCTTTTTTCTGTCAAACAATTAAGAAGCTACCGTACAAAGAAAGGTGGGCCTTTCCTATTTTTCGAAATTGCGCATTTTAATGTGCTAAAAAGGGATTGAACACTATTCCCATTTCAGAAAAGCATCCCAGACCTCAAACCTTTGTTGCTTTGCACGACGAGCCCATAATCAAACTACGATAATTTCTTTTAGTAGTTCAGTGATCAAGAGATTTAAATTCAATACTGTTTATAAATGATTCAGATACATTTGCCTTTGAGATTAGAATCACACAAAAAAAAAAAAAAAAAAAGAGGAGGAAGGGAGGTTGGTTCCCCAGGTAGTAACAGTGTCATGACAATATGCAGAACCGGTACTTTTTTTTTGGCCTGAGTAGAACCAGTACTCAGAAATATAATTCCACGAGGTGAAGGAGGAAGTTCGAAGACATTAATGTTGTTTGTTTTGTTTGCTGCAGAGGAAAGAGGAATAGGTCCCATGCCACCTTTCTCCCACAGACAGACGAAGGCAAGTGAGTCTTCTGACTAGTCGAAAAGCTGTGGTGAATTTCGCTTTCTTTCCAGCCTCATTCAAGCTTTTTTTTAGCCTTTTTTATTTTTTTGAACAAGACCTGAAAACTTCACTAAACTAACAACAAAAATGAGTACCAAAAAAAAAAAAACCTATTCTTCATCAACGTCCGCCTCCTGATCAAGGAAAGGAGGTTGATCAAAGAGCAAGAAATTCTCATCCATCTTATGAGCCAATTTAACTAACCTATCAATAATAGTTAGTTTATTTCTGTATACATGAGTAAGGTTAACTTGCCAATCCAGCCTCATCCACCACATCCTTGAAAAGTTAGTCAATATCACAACTTTTAAGGCCAAGATTAATCGCCTCAATACAGAGATTTAAATTGATTTTCCTAAACCCCTTGGCCTAACACAAATTGAAGCTGTGTATAAATCCAATCAATTCTGTAATTGTCGACAGAACCACAGTCAGTTTACAGCTGAATCCACAAACCCATCTGTCATGTGTATCTCGAACGAAACCTCCACAACCGCTCCTTCCGGTTGCCATTTTTCACCTTCTTTTTTCTAAGGGCAACGAGTAAAGACTCCTTATATTATGGATCTTTCTCTCTTTTAAAAAATCGCATTTAGGACTTGTTGTTGTCTTCTGAAGTCGTGAAGAACGATGATTCAGAGATGTGAGATAATGAAGCAATGAACGTACATGATATTGGATAAACATGAGGAACAAGTTTCCCCACTTTCATCGGCCGAACGAAACAAGTTTCCCTATTTTCTGTGCCTAGGCTTAGGCCTCGCTGGATTTGACGCCATCCTCAGGGGCTCCTCACCCTACAAAGTACAGTGGGTAGAATATTAATGTCATGGTAAGTCACACTCGTAGGGTAAAATATTGGGGCGGGGGTTTTTCAAACTTGTCACCGTCAATTTTCTGGAAAGGTTTTCTTTTTTGGCATCAGCATGGTTCAATTATAATACGCATTTTTATTTTTAACTCGTCAAATCGCTTCATTCTTTGATGGCCTTTATGACGCTAATGCCAGATAGAAGTCAGACATTCTTGGAAAATAGTTGGACTTGAGGCCTTCCCATGTGAAATTGGCGCAACATGGGCGCATGATAAAATCCAACGTCATGATATAAAATCTTGGGAGAATTTCAGTCTAACCCCTCCCAGACGATTCTTTTTTTTTTTTTTGGAACCAGCCTTCCCAAACGGTTCAAGCCCAATAGTCCCATAAGATCCCCAAGTATCATTTCAGCTTTTTTTTTTTTAACCAAAACGAAATTAAATATTACTTCTCCGGTCCTAAATATAAAACCCTTATACTAACGTATTTAAGGGTCTTATATTTAGAATCGGAGGAGTATGAGTGAAAATATAATTATGTTCTTGTATTTTTTATTTATAAAAAAAATATCAACCTTTGGCAGCCAACCCCTGACCCTCCTGTGGGTGGGGAATTTTTTTTAAAAATAAGATAGCTAAGAGGGTGTTTGAACCCACTATCCCATAGCACACCAAAAAAAAATTATAACCACCAAACCATCCAATATATTTAGTACATGATGCAACGCAATATATATATATATATAACAAAATAAATATAAGTATCCAAATATATATAAACAACTGAAATAAGACGATTCATAACACATATTAGAAGATTTATAAGAAGTATAGGGAAATTCACAACTCCATTTAAGGTTCAATAGAAAGAAAAATCAAATGTTTCCATGAACAATTGAAGTAAGACAATTTACAACACAAATTAAGTGATTTCTAAAAGATATACGAGAATTTACAACTTTATTTGAAATTCAGTGGAGAGAAAAATTACATATTAAGGGTTGCATATGAACAACTAAAATAAAGCGATTCATAATACAAATTAGGTAATTTGCAAGATGTATACAAAAATTCACAGCCATTGACATTTTATTTTTCTCTCCAATGAACCTTAAATGGAATTGTAAATTTCCGTATGCCTCTTGAAAATTACCTAATTTGTGTTGTAAATTGTTTTATGTTAGTTGCTCATGACATTTAATTTTTCTTTGCATAAAACATCAAATAGAATTGTGAATTCTAGTATTTTTCTTGTAAATTGCTTAATTTGTGTTGTAAATCACTTTATTTTGGTTGTTTATAATATTCAATTTTTTCTCCACAAAATCTCAAATGAATTTGTGAATTCCAGTGTATCTCTTATAAATTGTCTAATTTGTGTTGTAAATTGTTTTACTTCAATTGTTCATGCAATCCTTGACATTTAATAATCCTTAACATTTAATTGTTCTTTCCATTGAATCTCAAATGGAGTTGTAAATTCCCCTATATCTCTTATAAACCGCTTAATATGCATTGTGAATCACATTATTTCAATTATTCATGCATATCACGCTTACATTTGTATTATTATATATATTTTTGTTAGCATCATATAATTAAAGAGATTAAATGATTTAGTGGTTACAATCTTTCTAGTGTACCAAGGGGTACCACAGGTTCAAATCCCCCCCCCCCGGGCTGCCTTATTTTTTAAAAAAAATTTCTCAGCTCCAACCACCCAGACCGTTCAATACCGGAGCCCCAGCTAGGTTGATAAGAATATAAATAAAATAATAGACGAGCGTAATTATATTTTCACCCATAACACTTAATTTTGTTTTGGCCAAAAAAGCTGAAATGATATTTCAGAATCTTATAAGAGCTGTTTGAAATTAAATTGCTTTCCGAAGAGTAGAATGAAATTCTTCCTAAAATCCTCGAAAGAACACGCCAAAGGTTTAAGAAAAACTAGACAGTTCTTCAATATATGTCGGACAAAATTAGCAATTAGCAGAACACACGAAATCATAAGAATCAAAAGCACTGATCATAATCAATTGTCGATCTTGGGAGGTAGTCAAGTATCTATATCCAAATCCAACGACCTCATATCATAACTACAACTTTTCAAGTTTGTTTCCTCCTTCAGGTTCCTTGAGATTCTGTTTACTCTTAATTTACAACTACCAGGAAATGCCAATTTACAGAATAGTTATGCATTAAACCTAGATCCTCGATTTTCAGAATGCCATCTCCTTGTCTTCATTTTTCTTCCAAATGGATAGCCTATACTGTAAAATTATTAAGGAAAACCAGTTATTATACTTTATCATCATGGAACCACCACCTTGTCTCCTTAGGAGATCTGCCATTTCCGCAGTTCTTTACATAGCGGTCATTATCTTCAGGACGTTGCTGCACAAGAGATGGAGTTAGAATCATTCTTCAGGGTAATATGCAAATCTTTAGATAAGGGAATATCAAATACTACCTGGTCTTTTTTCAAGCACGCAATCTCTTGTATGGAGATTTCCAACCGCTTTTTTAGGTTAGACTTTGTTTTTTTTGGCCATATTTTTAAGTTAGACTTTGGTCAAAACCTGATTGAAGCAAATACTACCTGGTCTTTAACACAAGAACTAGTTGACTAATTTGAATAGATTAAGAAGATTATTCAAATTAGTTACTTATAATAAATAGATGATGTTTTTTCCTAAAATACTTTTTCTAATCATGTGTATTAGTCAAAATTACCATTTGATCAAACCTGCAACTACTACGAGAACTAACTTGGAAAAAAATAGACAAATATTATAGACAAAGTGGATTAAAAATCTTATATTTAGTACCAAATTAAATGTCAAACTAGATTAAGGACCAAAGGTAGTATATTGATGTGCCTTTTGTGGAATCAGCGTCCAGCTACATCTGAAGCATGTGTATGTACAACTACCGTTGAAATGAATACTAGGAGAGAGAATATTCGCTATCAATAAATTCACACCTTCATAGTTGAGCTTGAAAGCATTGAGAGAATACTGATGCATATAGAACTAACTGTCATTGCTGGGGACCACGAATCATACAATATATCTGCGTAAGTTCATCAAGTTTATTAAGTGTCAGCTCACCACTGTCAAGGAAAGCTAGCAAGTAAATCTTGCTTCCTTTTGGCAGCCTATAAGTACGAACGACCAGAATTGGCAGGAGTCCATCACGGCATGGGATGGTTATAAATTAAGTATAAAAATGAGAATGATGTGAAGGTGCAGGTCTTCAAACATTAATTCCCCAAAGGAGAGATGAAATATAAACTTCACATTCATTGCCAAACTGAAGAAGTCAGGAGGTTTGATAAAAACTAATGCTCTC